CTATATGAAGTAAGAGCTTATTCAAGAGATGCTAAGAGTTGCCAGAAAAATTCACGTCGGATTCTGTAGGTCTGGAAGATCAAACTACGAAAGCACTTTGTCACACTGGCTGGACATCAGTTTCCCTGTCCCCAGGGATCCTCTTCACAAAAGCTGAACTTACACGAAGCCAGACCACTAGAAAATTCCCAACGCCAGTTAATTAGGGCTCAGTTGTAACCGTCGCACCCACAGCTAACTCTTTTCCTAAACGATGCTAACAGTAAAACAGCGATGATTGCAAATGAAGCGCTGATAAGACTTATGCGAGATCGGAACTTCAGTCCATCTTGGATGAGAACACCTTTTGGGAAAGCAAGGCTATGTGAAATTCAATGGAAATGTCTGCTCTACGCATGTCATTGTAAGAAAATGCAACTACCACTCCTTCATCACTTTAAACGAAATAGGATGAAGACAACTCTTAGAAATGAAGAGCAGACAAAGGCAGCATCAGACGCCCAAACATGCGTGGAGGCTTGTATGCGCATGTGAAAGGTGTGATTTCGTCCTGTAATCCAGCACATCCTCCAGAAGGGGCTCCAAGAATTGCTGGCAGCGCTGCAGCCCTCGTGGCGGAAGAGAAGTAAATCGAAATGCCCATTGAAGGAAGTGGCTCTATTCACAAAGTCAGGATCCATTTGCCGAATGGCTGCCCAAAAAGGCAGAACATGTGCTCATGCTTGTGAGAAACAGGTCCAAACATTCTGCACGGATAGGAGGTGAGAAGAGACGAGGTACAATTGGCGAGGCAGACGATCCCGGGGTCATGTCGATTGTTGTAATAAAAGTCTTCTCAGCAGATGGAAAGTTGGCACTGCCAAATGTGTCTCTGTGTCTATGTGCATGTGTGTGTGTGTGTGTGTGTGTGAGTGTGAGTGTGAGTCTGCAACTTCGTGTGTCGGTGAGTCCTATTCTGTCGGCTGGCTGGTTGATCGGGTTGCCCAACAAAGGCCGGATGATGGGACTGGGTGACGGCTCGGTTGGCTGATCTCCCGGGCAGAGACAATACTTTTGCTGGCATCAACCGGGCGGTTGGAAGAGGAGAAAGAGAAAGAAGAGAAAAGTGCAGAATCGGCTGCTTCCCCTCCGACCTGTCTAGGAATGACAGCCACAGTTGGACCGTAAATCACAGAAGAGGTAGGCTCTCGTCAGCCTGCCCCAGCCAGCCCGCACGCATGGCCGCCTCTTCTGACCCTATCCACTTACAGTTGCAGAGCTTGTGTCCAGGTGACTGCGCAACCATGCCCACATGCACTCAAAAACACAACAGGATTGTTGATTCTTGTGTCAAATTTGAGGCGAGACAGACCGAGGACCTGCATGAGTGTGGAGTACAGGAGACAAGAGTGTGGAATGAATGGAAGTGTCGGGTGTGTGTTTTGTGTGTGTGTGTGTGTGTGTGTGGGTTCATATG